AGCGAATCGGCGATCGCGAAGAGGGAGTTCCGCTTCTATAAGTGTAGAATTCTGTGCTTGATGTATAAGTAGGTCTACCAATTTAAAAACATCTTCCATTTTCAGATAATAAAAAAAAATAGAGACACGCATTTATAATTATTGTTCTGTCTAGCTAGACCCAATGATTTTCAATTTCATGTATAACGTAAAATGAGGACGCGTTCACAGAGGTAGGACATTTGCGTGCGTGTGTGTATGTGTCTGGTGTCTGCGTGACGTGAGCAATATGGGAATAAAAAGCCATTATAGGCCCTAGCGTTTTACAATGATAACCCAGTACTGTGCCCTGGAGTTCTTTTTATGTTTGATAATGATCGTAGCAAGCTACGGCTGCTTGCTCGGTATTTTATAATGATATTACAACTGCTCAGCTGAATGCTGCTATGTCAATGAGTTTGATTTGTCTACCTTATTAAATCCAAGGTGGATGCATGGTAAAATCAGTTTTGGTTTAATATTTCGTGACAAAAATATTGCTGCCTGAAACAAATGTGTGTTTAATACAATATGTGCACTTGGTTCTTTTGTATTTCTTCTAACGCGATTAGAATATTTCAAAGGAATTTACAATGTATTCTTTGTATTTTTATGGGCGTATCCTGATTTTGAGGACACAAAAAAAAATTTGATAATCACACGTAGAGACGTATCGGAAAATTTCCCCGTTTTTGGCGGGAAATTGCCAACCGTATTGCACTGCGACTGATCCACATCGTGGAGGATGTCTCCGTGGTTACTATCTTAAAATTTGGTAAGGCAGCGAAGAATCATTTGTCAGTAAAAAGAACAAATGCATATTACAAAATCAGCTCAAAACTTTAAACGGGTCTCTTGAAAAACAAAGAAATAGTCAATACGCCCCTACGTGAGATGGGTGACGACTTGTTCCGGGGTCTGCAGCACCGCGTTGAGGTCCCAATAATGACTGCAGGTGCTTTGCGTCTGCTTGCGCACATCACACATTCACTTTATCTACCACAGCATTGTGGCCTCTCCATCCCACACCAGAGTACTGAGAGGCACGGTATGGCTAGATAATCTAGACTGGGCTGGCCTATCACGTGGTGTGGTGCGTTCTGCTTGTCTGCGCTTGCCACACCCTCCCCACTCATTTGCTCCGGCCTTCATTGTTGGTTCGCGTGGGCTCTCCCATTCTTTATTTCGCTGGATCACCAACTATTTTCTCAACTGGCGAGGTTTTATATGTTTAATTGGTCTGTGTGCTGAGCACAGCAGCAGCAGTATTCCGTTATAACCGACTCGCGTGACTGTCTGATTGTGCAATAGCAGTATTTTATTTACAAAGATAAAGAAGGGGAAAAAACGGGGTTTTGGAATAGTGTCTTTATAACAGACTTCTCGTTTCAGGACTCGTTATAAGTGGACTCCACTGTATTTTATTTATAAAGATAAAGAAGGGAAAAAAATGGGGTTTTAGAACAGTGTCTTTGTAACAGACCTCGTTATTTCAGGACTCGTAATATAAGTGGACTCCACTGTACTCAAGTCAAACAATTTTTTTAAAATCCAAGGACTTGACAGGTCTAGGAAAGATTGATAAAATCTTACCCAACAAACTTACTCCTACATAATGGACAGCAGGCATGATGTGTTTGTTGCACATGGATTCGATCCCAAAATATGTGCCACTAATACTAACAGACATTAGTCTTCATTAGAGAGAGGGCAATTCCACACCCTGCCAAAATATAGGCCTACAATAATGTAACCCAACTAACAATAACATGGGCCAGTCTCGACATAAAAATCAAATCAATAAAAAAGGGCACTTGGAGGATGAAAATAATAATTGCATTTTAAAGCGCAGGTATATATCATCATCCACTCTACAGCATGCTCTACGCGTTTTACAACTATTCTTACCCCAACAGACTCTAAACCTCCAGAACATTCTCAGCTTCCTAGGAAGAATACAGTGCAGGCTGCAGATTACAGCCCTCAAACATAAACAAACTGACAAGAACTTCCATTGTATATAGCTGGATCATTCCCACTTTGGTGAAGTGAGGAAAATTTGTGCGTAGTGCCTTTCCAAGGACACAATGTTGCAACAACCCCAACATGATTCGAACCCTGAACTTTACGGTTGCCGAGTCCAAGTGCCTGATCACAAGACTATACAGATGCCAGGAAATTAAAGATGGAGACAGGTGGCGCAACAAAGATTAAGATGGTTTGGATAGCACACTGTTCCCCTTTCTATTTCTAATAGTGTTACAAAAATTGACAAGGTTTATTCCCAGGTCACAGACTTTTGTACGAAGTTCAGTCAAACCTCACATTTTACTACCAGCCCCACTTACCGCCAGGTTTTGCCATTGTACGAAAAGGAATGCCTATATAAACATACAGAGGAATCCTGTTATAACGAGAGGGAGGGGACCGGTGCGAAATGTCCGTCATAGCAGGATTCTCGTTATGACAGATCAAGTAATAAATTCAAGGGAAATGGTAAAGTAGGCCTAAACTACGAGTCTGGTGTTCTACATTTCTTTTTGTTATCTCCCCTGACTTTGATTTGGTTCAACATGACATCTAGTATCTTGGTCTTATTTATCAAATATATCGAAAAAGGTTTATTTCTCTAGCGCTAGCGATGTTGACAGTTCGGCGTTGGCGGTCAGAAAGAAAGTTTACTAGGCTAGGCTAACTCACCCGTTGTGTTGTCCCCCACACCCTGTGGTGCGTTCCGTCTGATTTGCACGTCACATATTCGCTCCATCCATCACAGTATTGTGACCTCTCCATCTCCGCATCAGAAAAATGAGAAGCATGGTAGGCCTAGATAATCTAGACTAGGCTGGCCTATCAAGCGAAGCATTTTGCTTGTTTGCGCATGCCACACCCTCCCCACTCATTCGCTCTGGCCTTCATTGTTGGCACACGTGAGCTCTCCCATTCTTTCTTTCGCAAGATCACCAACAAGATTCTCAACTGGCGAGGTTTTACATGAATAAATGGCCTATGCGGCTGTGCACAGCAGCAGCAGTATTCCGCTATAACCGACTCGCGTGTTTGTCCGATAGCGCTACAGCAGTATTTTATTCATTAAGATGAAGAAGAAAACCCCCCCCGCGGTTTTAGAAGTGTCTTTACATCAGACTTATCATTATTTCAGGACTCGTTATAAGAGGATTCCACTGTAGTATTCTCACCTTCACACCGTCAACTGTCTGAATTGTAGAGTCATTTAACTGATGCAATTAATTTACCCTGCCATGCCAGCCAACTGACCCCCAGAGGTACACACAACACACACACAACAGAGGAACCCCAATGGACCATCAGCCCCGCTGTTCCACCAACTTCAGTCCTGTCCCAAGGGTGGCAGTACCCGTAATGTACTTCGCAACTGCACAATCACTCAAGGCAAAGCAAAGAACGTGAGTTTATCATTTTCATTTTATTAATTCCACAAGCAGTGCAGCTAGGTGACTGACAATTTATAACCCATCCACTGGGAAAAGTGGACCACAGTACTGGTCAGCTCACAAAACCAATAAACTATATGATACAGGTGACATCGGTCCCATAACCTGTCCAGTACTATGGTGGGAGCAAACGACCAACTTTCTTACCAAGCTCGCGGGGCACATGACAATTTCCTTCATCCCAATTAGACACATGGACTTGTAATGAATTACAGAGGTACTCAACAAAAGGTGTTTTAAATACTATCTTGCACAAGCCAGGCAAATCACTTGAAGATCTTGCCATCCAGAATTTCCCGTCCCTTGAAGTCGCCTTCCTGAGTGAAGAACTTGGTCAACAATTCTTTTGCCTCATCACTGTTGGCGTCAAGCTTTCTCCATGAGTAGGACTCGTAGTCAATTTGCCAATCGGGAGACAGCTAAAGACAAGACAAAATAATTCACATTACAACAATTATAAAAAGAATAAGTTTTTAAAAAGAGAGCAGTTCATTTTTGACACACACTGATGCATGATTATTTCTATGATGTATAACTTCTGAGACAAACACGAATGACATTTGACCTCATGCTAAAAAAGAAATAATGAAAATATGAATTCTAGCTAAGCGACACCACAACTTGGAACGTCTGTCTCAGTACGTTACGCTTGTTTATATCATTATATGGCTTGTTTTACTCGAGTCTTGTCTCTGGATAAAACAATAGCTTCATTTTTCTTTCTATATCTGACGAGAAAGCTGTTACAGATAAGACATAGCAAAGTGTGTTGTCTTTCTCACATGTATCATGCAAGACAGAGCCAATGTGTAGAATCCGAGAACCTGTTATAAGTCTCAGTACTGTCAAATTGTTTACATCGTTGTGGCTTATCCTATGCAGGTCTTGTCAATGAATGAATTCATCTAATCATTTATCTTTCAATTGGTCAGAGTTTTACTGATCTGTCTTTTTAAACTCTTATAACAAGCCAACAACCATCAATTAAAGATTGTGATTGTGCACAGTAGAATTTTCCTTAGCATGTTGGGGTGCATATACAAATAACAGTCCAGGGGTTCAAATCCAGGCCTGAAGGTGAATTAAGTAGAAGCAGTAAAAGTATATCCTCTGAGACATGCCAAGTGACACCAAATGTACTGCCATGACCGACAGCATATTTTGATTACAAAACACCCTGAGAGTACCTTATTTACAAGGTAGTACTTATTCAATTCCCACAAAAGGTTCTCAAAGATATATGATGACAGTCGAACCTGTCCACGAGTAACATTCATTACTGAAGAGAAAAGTAGTCACCTTCAGCAGCTGTTATAATATAAAAACAACTTAAGGCAGGGAGTGGGAAGTGGTCATTTGTACAAGTGATGGTTTTGGACAGGTAATCATTAAAGTAGAGCAGGTTCGATAGTATTTTCAAGCCTTATTTCTCTAGGGAAGAAAGTTTGTAGCACACACAACTGAAAATCATCCTAATTTTACTGCTCAGCATAGTTCTTCAACGAAGGAATTGAATTACACGTACCATTTAAAACCATTTTGCGGATATAATTTAACTAAACTAAAAACCAAAACATGATAACACATCTATTACCCAGCCTAAAGGGTGTGTTTGTGTGTGCGCGCGTGGGAGTTGCAATGAATAAACAGGCCAGTGCCCACTACTTAAGCCATCATAAAATAACTCACAGTGAAGGCCAAATCTTGTGATCTCCAGAACCACAGTCCAACAATGCCAAGGTCACTTTTTGGCCCCAAAACCATCATGCTGCCAAAAGCATTTTTGCGCAGTTTTTCCAACCTCTGGAACATACCTGAAAAAGAAAAAGAAGCCTTGAGCATGATTTGTGTTTTCATGTAGGCACAAAATCACACACTACCGGTTCTTAACCTTGTTTTGTTTAGTTTTAGTAGAGGTTTTACTGCATAAGGTCATAGAGGGCCAGAAGATTAGAGGGGTTACAAGAGAGTAACAAACATAAAAAAGAAGGGGCGATAAGGACGCTTTCATAATGCATTTACTGAACCCTTCCTGTTGGGTAAGCAAATTGAGAAGATCAACTTAAATTGCTGTCCTTTTCCATCCACACTAGAGCTACCACTCTAAATCTTAGTGTACTCCTCCACACCAAGCTGTTATTTTTTAAAAATCTTCATTGCTTTGTAAAATGTGTTGGGTCCCCCAGTCATTCCAAAGATAAAAGAAATGTAAAATAAAATTTCATAAAGCTCAGTACGGCGAGTGAGGTAATTGTTTCATTACAATCAAGACCCCAATCTCATCACAGCTCCTCTTGTCCATGATTAAGAACATCCCATACCAGACGACAATTATTCTTGACAAAACAGATCATTAGGCCACAAAGTCAATCAACTTTCAGAGAGATACAACTTGAGAAAGACACCTGACAGACATCTGGGACAGAAATAGTTACCGTCTAAGTATCCCCCACCCCCCCAAATCTTGAATGAAGTCAGATCATTAACAAACCGAGGTCTGTATTTTCTGAAAAGGACTTTTTAACCCATACAACTTTCATCTGAGGAATGTAAAAAAGACAATAAGAATCTCAGTACGGCGAGTGAGGTAATTGTTTCATAAGAATCAAGACCCCATGCTCATCACAGCCCCTCTTACACAATTTTTAATATTCTTAGAATAAACAACAGTATGAACTAAATTTAAAAAACAAAAACCTACCACTATTCAATAATAGTTGCAAAAACTAAACTACTCTAAGTAAGCAAAGGTGAATTTGAGGATGTGCAAGGAAACAAAGCTAACAGACACATCCATTTAAATCAAAACAGGGTATTTTAACATTTTCACTGTGTAATCCCACTTCCACCCCATAGAGAGCTTCTGTGATCAATCTTCTATTTCAGAAATTTCTCCAACAGATTCTGTCAACCTTCTTGCTTTCCTTTTGTAGTCTGACCAGATGCTTCACACCTTTTCCTCAAATAGTGTAGACCGTAAGTCTACTTAATTTTCTGTCAACAGTTTTTTTTTTCTTCCTGCAAGGTAGAAGGAACATTTAAGAATCTTGCTTGCACAGTGCCTCTTATCAAAGCTTTTCTCTAAAACTTTTCCCAACTTGTAACACTGATTTCCAACAATTGTAAAGAAATATGGAAGAAGCTCAGTACGGCGAGTGAGGTAATTGTTTCATTAGAATCAAGACCCCAGTCTCATCATAGCTCCACTTTAAATTCTAATTAACAGTGGTTGTCACATATTATCTGGTACAAGTAATCCCCCGGTAGTAATAATTTTACTGTACTTGCAACACAATAAGGTCGTATAAGTGCCGAAGTTTAGGTGTTACGAGAGAGCAACAAATACAAAAATGAAGGAGACCAGGACGATAGGTGTTTTGTAGGAAAGGAGGATCAAATCCCAACGGTGCACCTGCCCCACCGACAACAGTTTGCTCTTTCTGCTAGGTAGAAGGAACATTAAAGAATCTTGCTTGCGAGGCACATCTTATCAAAGCTTTTAGATAACTTTTCCCAACTTGAAACTCCTATTTTCAATCATGGTAAAGAAAATAATAAAGAAGCTCAGTACGGCGAGTGAGGTAATTGTTTCATTAGAATCAAGACCCCAGTCTCATCACAGCTCTGCTTTAAATTTCAATTATCAGTGGTTGTCACTTTAATAGACTCAAAGAGTTTTACAACACTTGCAAGACAATGAAGGTCATATTATAAGTGCTGAAGACTAGGTGTTACAAGAGAATAACACAAAAAAGAAGTAGAGACCAGGACGATATACATGTTTCGCAAGAAAGAAGGATCAAACTACAACAAAGCACCTGCCAACCACCCGCAACAATTTTTTAAATGCAAGGTAGAAGGAACATAAAAGAATCTTGCTTGCACAGTGCATTTAATCAACCTTTTCCAACTTTGTTACTCCCATTTTCAATAATTGTAATGACAATAATAGCAAAGAAGCTCAGTACGGCGAGTGAGGTAATTGTTTCATGAGAATCAAGACCCCAGTCTCATCACAGCTCTGCTTAAAATTTCAATTATCAATGGTAGTCACTTTGATAACAATAAGGCATAAGGTTATATTATTGAAAAGTAGGTGTTACAAGAGAGTAACCAATTTTTAAAAAAGGAAAGATCAGGATGATACATGTTTCATAAGAAAGAAGAATCAAAACACTACAAAGCACCTGCCAACCACATCTTTTTCTAAAAAGTAGAAGGAACATTTAGGAATCTTGCTCACACAGTTCATCTTATAAAATTTTCTCTAAAACTTTTCACAACTTGCAATTTCCACTTTCAACAATAGTAAAGAAAATATAAACAAAGAAGCTCAGTACGGCGAGTGAGGTAATTGTTTCATTAGAATCAAGACCCCAGTCTCATCACAGCTCCACTTTAAATTTTAATTAACAGTGGTTGTTGTATTTAGTTTTAGTTATAGATTTCTGGCAGTGGCAACACAATAAAGTCATATAAGTGCCGAAGATTAGATGCCACAAGAGAGTAACAAACACAAAGAAATAGACCAGGACGACAGATGTTTTGTACAAAAAAGAAGGATCAAACCACTAGAGCAGAGCACCTGCCAACCACCCACAACAGTTTTTCTCTTTCTGCTAAAAATATTAAAGAAACTTGCTTGCGAGGCACATCTTATCAAAACTTTTTTAGATAACTTTTCCCAATTTGAAACTCCCATTTTCAATCATTGTAAAGAAAATAATAAAGAAGCTCAGTACGGCGAGTGAGGTAATTGTTTCATGAGAATCAAGACCCCAGTCTCATCACAGCTCTGCTTTAAATTTCAATTATCAGTGGTTGTCACTTTAATAAAGACTCAAGAGTTTTACGGCACTTGCAACACATTAATGTCATATTGTGCTGAAGATTAGGTGTTACAAGAGAGTAATAAACAAAAAAGAAGGAGAAATCAGGACGATATACATGTTTCGTACGAAAGAAGGATCAAACTACAACAAAGCACCCGCAACAACCTTTTTTTTCCTGCAAGGTAGAAGGAACATAAAAGAATCTTGCTAGGACAGTACATCTTATCAAAGCTTTCTCAAAAACTTTTCCCAACTTGTAACATCCGCTTTCAATAATTGTAAAGAAAATATAGGCAAAGAAGCTCAGTACGGCGAGTGAGGTAATTGTTTCATTAGAATCAAGACCCCAGTCTCATCACAGCCCCACTTAAAACTATAACTAACAATTGTTGTCACATTTAATTTTAGTAATAGTTTTACAGTACTTGCAAAACAATAAGATCATATAAACGCCGAAGATCAGTGGTTGTCACTTAAATAAAGACTAAAGAGTTTTACGGCACTTGCAACACATTAAGGTCATATTGTGCTGAAGATTACGTGTTACAAGATAGTAACAAACACTAAAAAGGAGAGATCAGGATGATAGATGTTTCGTAAGAAAGGAGGATTAAACCACAACAGAGCACCTGCCACAAGTATTCTTTTTCTGCAAGGCAGAAAGAACAAAAAAGAATCTTGCTTGCACAGTACATTTTATAAAAGCTTTCTCTTTTTTAGTTTTAGTAGAGGTTTTACAGCGCTCGAAAATGCAAAAGATCATATGAGCGCCAGAAGAAAAGAGGTGTTACAAGAGAGCAACAAATATAAAAGAAGTAAGGCAGACAAGGACAATAGATGTTTGATAGGAAAGAAGAAGCAAACCAGACCAGAGCACCTGCCAACCACCCTCAAAAGCTTTCTCTAAAACTTTCCCCCAACTTGTAACTCCCAATATCAACAATGCAAATAAAATATTGGCAAAAAAGCTCAGTACGGCGAGTGAGGTAATTGTTTCATTAGAATCAAGACCCCAGTCTCATCACAGCTCCATTAAAAAATTTAAATAACAGTGGCTGTCACATTTAGTTTTAGTCATAGTTTTACGGCACTCATGTGATACAATAGAGTACCAAACACACAAAAGAAAGTCAGGATGATTCTTTATAGGAAAGAAGGAAAAAACCACAACAGAGCACCTGCCAATAATCCGCAACAATTTTTTTCCTTCTTCAAGGTAGAAGGAACATCAGAATCTTGCTTGCACAGTACATCTTATCAAAGTTTTCTCTAAAACTTTTCCCAACTTGCAACTTCCGCTTTCAACAATAGTAAAGAAAATATAGACAAAGAAGCTCAGTACGGCGAGTGAGGTAATTGTTTCATTAGAATCAAGACCCCAGTCTCATCACAGCTCCACTTTAAACTATAATTATTACCAATCATCAATGGTTGTCACACCCGAACACACAAAAAAACCCCGGTGAAATCATTATAATAGTTGAAAACTGTAAGTTCAAGGAAGAGAAGCACACTGACTGAAGAATGGTTTTTATGCACCTGAAAATGTGCCGAAAAAAATTTTGACAAACGGAAAGTAAGGCCATCAGAACTCGAGGCACATAAATTCAAATCAAAATAAAGCGCGTTTCAACATTTTCATTTTGTAAATCCTATCCCCCAGAGAGCTTATGATCAACAACAAAATATTCTCCATTTCTAATTTTGTTCCTGACCCATTCCCACCAGTAAATCAATCAACGCTCTTACTTTGGTCAAATTAGTAGTTAGAAAATTACAAGTAGCTCAGTACGGCGAGTGAGGCAATTGTTTCATTAGAATCAAGACCCCAACCTCATCACAGCTGCTCTTATCGACAACTTTATAGTCATATTTTTTTTTAAAAATTAAATATAATCACGCTTGATCAGACTAAACATATTCTTGAAACAACTGAATATACCCCCCGCCCCCCAAAAAAGTAAAATTATGACCAGAAGACAGAAAAGTGTTATTACATTCAACAAAAAGAAAAGCACTAATCAAGAAAAAAAACGAAAATTGTTTAAACACTGATGAGATGCGCCATCTGCCATTCTACTCAATAAAATGTCCATTAACAACAACATCTTCAGTTTTTCAAACACAATCTTTAAACCTTCAAGCTCTGTTATACGATACTGAGAAAAGAACAAGAGGAAAGAGGACCTGGGCTAAACTTGAGACACAACCAGAGATAGACAAGACAGACGTCTTTGGACAGGTTTTGTTAATGGCTAGGGAACTGACACATAGATGCAATACACTCCTTGAAATGTAGCAGATAATAGTGGTACATAATATAATTTAGATTTGAAGGTGTGTAAAAAAAACCTGAGATCAACCTATTTCTCAGACATGTTCTGAAATTATCCCCACTTTCCACAAGTCAGACCAAATATTGTATTCTTTCCTTTGAACTTAAACACACATATAGGCACAGCATAAACAGAATCAGAATCTCAGTATGGCGAGTGAGGTAATTGTTTCATTAGACTCAAGACCCCATGCTCATCATAGCTCCTCTTTTACCATACAAAACATTTCTGAAATGTATGACCCTGAAATGATCTATAATTACATGACAGACCAGTAATGTATAAGTACTCCATTCCAGGTGTAATAACTTTGCTCCCTAAGCCAAAGTGCGACGCGTAGATCCATTCTGAACCAATACAGAAAGTATCTTGACATTTTGATGTCGATGCACCCTACAAAGCGTCTCATGATCTATCAATTTTTCCAACATGCTTTGTCAGCCTTCTTCCCATCCCTTTTCCTCAAACATATAAGGAGAGAGTACATTTAATAAATCTTTGGCACTTTTCTTTCCGCAAGGTAAAATAGAATATTTTTGGATCATGTTTATTAAGATCTTGTTCAGATTTTCTCGAAATCTTTTTCCCATCTCTCATTTTCAACAGTTGAGTTGGGGAAAAAAAACAACAAGCTCAGTACGGCGAGTGAGGCAATTATTTCATTAGAATCAAGACCCCGATCTCATCACAGCTCTTCTTTTTAAACCTATCCGTACACCCTGGGGTCATTTTGTTCCCCCGCAGTTGCATTCTTCATATTTTAGAATACTTTTAGTACGGAGATCTCTTTGAAACTTTACTTTTAGTATTTCTCAAAAAATCATTTTGACAGACTGCTATGCAAAAGCGTACAGATCGGATTAACAAGTAAATTTCCTCTTTGAAAGTGGTGGCACAGAGTTCCCCACGTCATATGGATATGATAGTAAAACACTACGTACGGATGGATAGGGTCCATTAAGGAAAAAATAAAAAATATTTGCAATCTATAAACTGATTATTACACCCAAAAACAAAATACAAAATGTGATCATTTTACATCTAAGTTCTGAGTTCAAGATAAAGGTTATTCAGAGCTTTGAAATAAAAGACAGATAAATTAAAGGAAAGCAAGACCTATTATGCTTATCATACAACACTATACCCTTTTTTTAAAGAACAGCAGCACATCAGACTAGCCTTTTGAATTATTTGCATTCTTCTGCTGTAAACACTTTTTCTGGCTAGCCGCACTAAAAACCATTATTAATTTAAGGATCATGCCCCGTCATCTTTGATGCCACCATATTAAACATTTTTGTCTTAAACCACTACAAACATATTTTTTAAAATAATTACAAGCAGGAATGAATGACCAAAAAGCTCAGTACGGCGAGTGAGGCAGTTGTTTCATTGGAATCAAGACCCCAATCTCATCACAGCTTTTCTTCATCCCGTCCATACTTCAAAGAGATGATAACAAAATTACCTATTCACTAATATTTATTGAATATGTGTGATGTAAGAATGCATGTTTCACCGCATTTAAAATGATGTACTTTTAAGTTGTAGGAAAGTTAAATTGAGTAGAAACCTGGCTTGTTCATTTATAAATGTAGCAACATCAAGAATTATAACACTTTAGTCACATTACAAGAATCGCTAGAGCTAACAATGACCAAGACTGACCCTTTTCTATTCCTGCAACATATTCTTTCAGCATTCATATTTTTCAGTGGTGACTCAACCAAGCTTTCCTCAAACTGTCTCAAATAATATATTTAGTAAGTTTTTCCCCATGGAAAAAAACTTGTCTTTCTGAAGGTGTAAGCTTCAAAAATTAAGATGGTGAAAACATTTATAAACGCAATATTAATAAACCCATTATTAATAGTATTTCAAAGGAAATGATAAGAAGCTCAGTACGGCGAGTGAGGTAATTGTTTCATAAGAATCAAGACCCCGTCCTCATCACAGCTACTTGAAACCTAGTCAGCAAATACATACTTATCATACTAAACCAGACAGCCATATCAAAATGAGACCATAAGTACTGAGTGAAGAAAACCCCACAAGCAATGATCATTACTCAACAGGCAACGAAATTACAGTCCAACAATGGTACTCTCCAACCAACTGTACGAGTTTAAGCTGACACAAGCATATAATTATACCTTCTCAATGCTACAACCCATCTGTCTGTCTATTCCTCTAACATACTTTCTCAGCTCATGCGCAGTCCATTTATGACAGGTCTTGCTTTAACTTTCATCAGGAAGGTGAAAGTAGCCTTTAAAAAAAAAAATATTCAATTACGCCCATTGTAGAGTTTAGGGACATAAACAAGAGGCTCATCATAAAAAGTGAGAATTCCTTTTTTTTTTTTTTTTTTTAAAGTTTTAGTTGGAGTCAGCACTTGCAACACAGTAAGGTAAACAAGTGCTGAAGATTAGAGGTTTAATCCAGAGTAACACAAAGAAAAAGAAGGAAGGATAAGAACGAATGATGTTTCGTAGAAGGAGCAAACCACACCCGAGTGCATGCTAACCATCCACTGAGAATTCCGATTACTTTCTTTTCTTCCCCTGCGTTTCTCTATAAAATCTATCAAAATAGAATGTACTTGCATTTTAAATGCACAAGATCAAATTCATATTAAATACACATCTTCAACATTTACAAAATGTTGCAATTAAGAAGCTCAGTACGACGAGAGAGGTATTGGTTTCATTACTGTCAAGACCCCATTCTCATCACAGCTCCACCAGTCTTAAAATGACCCATCTTTAATCTGTCTAAAGCTTGAACATTTTGAAATCATCAACCAACTACAAAGTCTCTCTGTTCAGTATCAGGTCCCAAAAAATAAAATCCTGAGACACACACCTACTCAATCAGAAATCCACAAAACTTCAGTCTTCAGGGACTTCTAAATGATAGTAATCTTTCATTTACGCTTCTTTATCCGTTCCATATATGAGTACTGAAACTAATAACAAATTTTCTGTGCATTTTAACCGAAACTTGTATATTTACTACCCTACTAAAGTACTCGCCAAAATCATATATCAACTTACCATCAACAAGGTTAGAGACCATAAAGGTCATCTTGCCCTTGAGAGGTTGAGTGTATTCACAGAACCACAGGGAATAGTTCTCCTTGTCAAAGTTCTGCCAGAAGTATGGAACAGCTTCTTTCACAATGTCGTTGTTGGAGTAAGTACGCTTGAACTCATCCAAGTTCATGGTCCTAAAAATGAAACAAATATTTTTATTAAACCATGCATGTGATCAAGTTAATAAAGTTAGCACAAGAAAAGTAACGGTGAGTTTAAAATCACTTTGATTTGTCTCCCTGGCCATGCTTGTGCATGCACTGCCAATATTCACTTAAAAAGGGTTTCATTTCATGACATTTCACAATGAAGCTAAGTATGTACGACACCATACTGAGCAACCATGAAAACAATCACGTTGCAACAGAGCAGTAATTACTTTTTTTGTACCCTGATTTCCGATGAACCAGCCACATGGCTTGAGGCTGTCATGGCTGCACAGGGATATGTTAGTCACAATTAAAAAGAAGTACAAGGAACAATGATCTTACAGCCTCATGAGCAACAAAAGAAAACCCAGTAAAAAACCTCAAGACGACAGTCATTGTTCTCAAAGAGGAACAAGTATCGCAATAGAACTGCAGCAAAAAACTTAAGTTGGAACCAAATTTTTATTTGAAACTCATCAATTACAGCCACAGAGGCCTGTCTTCTCATTCCAAACGTGTTGAGAGCAATTTATCAATTTGTTCCTCGGTATAAAGCATGGTGGCTTTCTTAAACCAGTGAAAGAGAAAAGGCTAGCATCACATCATTAAAACTCTTAGCAATAGGGGATCTCCTTAAGTCTTACAGTTTCAGCTACTCTCAGGTCCAATAGGAAAATAAAACTGATGTGCTTTGATTTGAGGGAACATCACAATGGAGATGTTTAGTTTGACGAAACAGAAGTTCATCAAAACAGCAAACAATCAAGTAATGGAAGAAAAGAATATGAAGGACCGACAGCTAGAACAGCAAAGAAAAGATATTAACAATCTGCAATGTGTATGATGATATAACGAGCAACTTTGAAAACAATCATGTTGCAACGGGGTAAGGTAAATCATCAACACTTGCTTTACCTCTGGGTTTTACATACCAGCCACAAGGCTCAGGGCTGGCATGCCTTTGTGGAGAGGGGCTCTTGATTAGCATTGATAAGTACAAGGCACTTTAAAAATTGCACCTCAGAACAAAAAGCTCATTATTTAAAACCAAACCCCCCCCCCCCACCCCCAAAAAGAGACTACCACAATATCTTCAAGAAATACCAAAAAGAGAACAACCTGGCCAGTAAGTTGAACAACCATCCATTCAAGTATAATAGCGGCAAAAAACACAAAAACATTAGAGGTGTTAAATGAGAATAACAAACAGAAAACAAGCAGGAGAGATCAGGACGATAGATGTTTGATAGGAAAGAAGGAGCAAACCACACCAGAGCATCTATCAACCACCCGCATAGACCAAATGCCCTCTAAAATGAGTAAATACAACAAAGCGACACCTTTCTTTCATCAGGATCGGTAAGGAAATTAATTTGGTGTACACAACTTTTACATAAACCTTATTTTTAAAAATGATTAATAATTAGTCTGATAATCCTTTTAAAAAAATATTTTAAAATCTACTGGTGTTTTACAGACATTGTCACATTTTTGTTCTAGCAGTTTTAGTAAAGAGTTTTACGGCACTTGCAACATGATAAGGTCATATAAGTGCCAAAGAATAGATAACGTGTTACAAGAGAGTAACATACACAAAAAAGAAGGAGGGGAGACAAGGACAAAAAATGTATGATAGGAAAGAAGGAGCAAACCACATTAGAGCACCTGCCAACATCTCACATTTTGGTAAACTAAGGGAAAAAAAAGACATTTCAAAGATAAAACTACTATGCTGGTGTGAATACTGTAACTTCCAAGTAATGTATGATGATATAATAGCAACTTTGAAAACATTCAGGCTGCAACAGGATAAATCATCAACACTTGCTTTACCTCTGGGTATTACATACCAGCCACAAGACTCAGGGCTGACATGCCTTTGTGGAGAGGAAGGTTGTGACAAACTGATGGGAACCACAAATAAACCCTTGCCAGCATTTCGACCAAAAATGCAGCAACAGATCAACTAATACGCCTCTGTAAAGGTCATGTCCAAAAGTGGGTTAAGAAATACAATTATTGCCCATTCAATGCACTGAGGCGAATGAAGAGTTGCCCAAAACAAAAACAGCGGACAGAACAGTTGACTGACTCCCTTAAATTGTGAAAAAAATAGTAGAAAACCCTTTAAGAAAAACAACCATGACAATGAAGTGTGAATCCATAATGTACAACAAAAATAGCACCAGGCAGGAATATTAAAATCATAAATTAATACGTAACTTTCATACAGTGAACTGCTAAGCATAAACTTTAATCTACCAAATGAAAAAACTGTTGTGACAACTTGGACAGCCAGCTGCAGAGAGTAAATATACATTTTAAAAAACTCTACTGGCGCTTTATAAACAATTTAGGCCCACGAAATAAAACACAAAATGAATAATTACTTTGCGGGTGTTAATACTGGTCACAAAGTGTATGATGATATAATGAGCAACTTTGAAAACATTCAGGTTGCAACAGAGTAAATCATCAACACTTGCTTTACCTCTGGGTATTACATACCAGCCACAAGACTCAGGGCTGACATGCCTTTGTGGAGAGGATAGTTGTGGCTGAAACTGATGAGAACCACTAACAAGCCTATGCTACATTTCAATCAAACACACAGCAACAGACTAGCTCATACATCTCTGCAAAGACTATCTCTTTTAAAAAATGCAACAACTTGCCTATTTGTTGCACTGAGGTGAATAAAAGATGCATAAAATAGAACAAAAAAGCAAGAGCAGCAACACTTGACAGACACCCTTCCAAGCTACATAGAATGTACAAAAGTTCCAAAGCTGCAAGGCGCAAGAAAAAAAGGTTTTCCACATTACTTTAAACTGACACCTCATGTACCTCCATGTTATTGAATTGATATGCCCGGCCATATTATGGTTTGCAAGCTTAGCGGAAGACCAATTTATAAGGCATAAACAATATAGAAGAAGCCCAGGAAAGACTCAAAGACCTAGGCTTTAACTGCTTAAGATGGAACTATTCTTGTTAGCGATCAACGGTGAAACGCAAGCTGCATTCAGAGAAGATTCCGACTATAGATTATTGGCCTTTATATCATAACACACTATATGTATTTTACAATCAAACTTTTTGAAGCGTTCACTCAGCTTCCATGTGATAGCACAAGGGATGTCCTCTGCCAAGATTCAGTTATGTTTCTCATCAGCAACAAAACCACCAGGATGAGTATCACCAACACTTTTCCAAATTATTCAAATTGGTGGAAAAATAAATTTTCAGACTCTTATGTACATCACAAATCCCATAACCGTTAACGCAATTTCAACATAGAAATGGGAAGTTTCAGAATGTAATTTACCCCTTTGGTAGAGCTGCAAAAGGATCCTTTGACTCCTTCGGTTTGGGCTCTTCCTCCTCTTCAGCGGCAGGCTGAGGAGACATTCTTCAATTACTACCATGGCAAAAGTACATTTGTAAATTTGCTCTCCCTTCATTGCCTGCCACATTCTTCAATTATGAAGACATTTTAACACACGAATCTAAACCTGTCATAATTTTAGCTGCCACTACTTCAATACTCTTTACTTGTACAATTGATCTGGCCATGAGTTTTCAAACATGGAGTCTCCCTCACTGCATTGTTATTACTAGAACTTGCGACGGTTTCTAGTAAAAACAAAAGCCAGATAAAATGGAGTAAGTTAACTATAGATCTTGACGACTTGACAATTTTAAATGAATACTTGTCTCGCAGACGTATGAAAAGTGGAGATAAAAGTAGAGGCATGAAAATGCATCTTTAGTTGCTTCAAAGCAAAATATGATGAAATGTGTTCCCTACACACTCACCTTAGGTGCTGGCTTCTCTTTCTTAGGCTGTTGTTGCTGCTGTTGCTTAGGCAGTTTTTCCTTCTTCTTTTCATCTCCACCTCCACCGTGCAGTTCCTTGTATTTTTTGGCTGTGGAGGAAAAAAGCAACACAATAAGAGTACACATATTTCCTGAAACCTACCATCATACTGTTTTAAACTGATAGGTTTGTTGAATGTTTTCATGCCCCATTGCAGTAAGTCTGGCTGAGCACTGATGTCCGATCCTGCGCCCTACGTGGATTCAATTCTAAAAACACAGTGTGCTACTGCATCATCTCACAGTAATGTGATACATCACAGTAAGTATTGTTTACTTCACTTTTCTGCTGATAGAAATTTCATTTCAAATTCTGCTTATTGGAAATAGTTTTTATGCAGCAGAGGAATTTGTAAGCTCACTTCAACCGAACATGTTTTCATTTTGTCACTGTCGTCAAGAAGTTGACCATTATCATACTGTCGAGTCAAAAGCAACCCAAGACAAAAGTGCCGCTAAACACATGTTTCCTAAAAGAGTAACAAATATATCTAAAAAATCTCAGCAACAGCACAAAACAAATACATAATAGGCTACACATTCTTTAACAGTATGCTTTTGAATCGAGCAACAACTAACAATGCTGTGGTAAAAACATGTGTAAATAAAATATCTCAGAACAAAAAAACAGAAAAGAGATCTGACATTCACCACATCAAACTAATTCTTGAGGGAATTTTAAAAGAACATAAAGCTTAGGAAGTACAACTTAAGCAGTCTTATTTTCCTACACCGTACCATCAAAGACAGCCATTTTGGTGCACAGCTTCACTTCGCCAAGCACTTTCTTCACTTGTGGCTGATTGACCACTGTGGTGAACCAACGGTTAACATTCTGGTATGGTTTGCGGAATTCAGGGTCTAGCACCTAAAAAACAACAAAATACAGCAATTTGCATTTATAACAATATTAGACTGATTCCTGAAATAATCACATATTAAAGGAAAGTTTTTTTGCACACATTTCTTAAGAAGTTCATTACATTTTTTTTAAAGGGTGGTTGGCGCTCATATGACCTTTTGCAGTTGTGAGCGCCGTAAAACCTCTACTAAAACTATTTTTTAAAAAAGGGTGGTTAACATGAAAGATGTGAAATCAAACAAAATACGATAATAAAAATTTAAAAAACACCCAAACTCAGAACACCTGATGCTCAAAAGTATGCATACCACTCTCTTTGATTAATCATATTTCCTAAGTTTTCACGTCAATATCATTTATACTGAAGTAAGGTTAAAAGAAAATAATCATCACAGCAAAACAGCTGGTCACAGGATTGGACAGGAAGCAACACAACTCATATTTATTGTTCTAATTTAAGTCAGAGTATTTTCATGAAGATAATGTCAACGCAACTCATAGAAATAAGGCGAATCCATGTCAGTGGTACATGTATTCCTTCCTTCAAACAGAAAATACTGACCAAAACTGCCGAACACCTTTTACTCATTAACTTCACACATTTAATAAGTATATATGCATACTGGTCTAATATCTAGGACATAGACTAACCTGTTCGTACACACTTTGCAAATTGCACACGAGACTAATGTCAGCCAGTGTCACACGCTCCCCAACAACAAATGTTCTGGTCAGCAAATGGTTGTTCAGTACGGTCAGCACTTTTTTAATCTGATCCTTTGCACGGTCTGTATCCTGAGCAAAAATTTAAAACATTTGCACATTAAAACCATATCAAAATAGTAATATTTAGTTCAGGGAAAAAAAAGAAAGAAAGAAAAGCAGGACGTATCAATGACACTCAAACCATCCACTTATCAGCAATGAACAAAACAAGACTAGAAAATTTTACACAAATTAAGCAAGAGAAGACCACACTACTTTTTACTCTAAAAATACCAAATAAAATCATTTAACCTTCCACCTGAAATACCCTTAGTTGAGTTTCCACCCATGATCTAAATCTCTCTAAACATGAGAAAAGAAAAAACGAACATTTACAACAATTCTTTAGACATTTTCAAAAAATTTTTTTCTGAACTTCCTCCAAGCATCGGCCCAAACTTTCCAACCTCTGGGGAAGTATAAATTGGCGTAGAGATAAAAGAATATTTAATTAAAATTTGGGAGGAAAAAGATTTTCAACCTCATATTTTGAACACTTCAAAATTAAAGAAAATGGAAGTCTTTACGATAATAAAATGGTAAATAATTTCCAGAAGTAAAAAAAGAAGAAGTCCCAAGCACAATTTAAAAGCCGAATGTACTGATCAAGTGATGATATATATGAGTAAATCAAAACTTTTCCTCATAAATATATTGCTCCCACCACACACCCCTAATATATTACTTCAACAGTGCAGGACATCACGATAACTGGAAATCCAGATGAAATGGTTATTAAACTTACACACCTGTTTGTTGTACTGGATGATGCCCAAGCAAGGGAACACCCAGGTGCAGGCAGCAGGAAGAATCTCATTGTCACTGAAGTTAATCCATTGCTGGACGAGGGAAGCACTCTTTCTGTCTTCTCCATGAAGCGCAGAGTTGGAGACTAGAGAGGAAAACCAAAGGAAAAAGTGGTTCAACAATAAAGTACCATATTCACATAAAATGAGGAATATTTATTAAAAAAACAAAAACTATGGACATGAAGCAAGACTGACAAATGACATTACAGTAGAGCTGGATCCTGCTAGCCAAATTAGAGCTGGATCCTGCTATCCAAATCTGAGAGTGGCGATTCGCAATTCAGTCGGCTTCAAAGAATCGCGAGTACGAGCGCTCGTGTAACTGCGGCGGAACATTAACTGAAACGGAACAGTGTCATATCAACGTCACTTGGCGAGCGCGAGTCCCACTCATGTTGTCCCACCACCCTCTCCGCCCCCCACCCTTCGTTACGCTGCTCTATCTACTGACCTCAATTAGAGACCTCCCCATAAATCCCCCCCCCCCCCCCCCCCCACACACACACATTCCTTTCTGCTGTCTTACGTTATGTTGGGACGAGGTGGCGCGTAGCAACTGCGGAAGTCAGTCCTCTGATCGGCTCAGTTACTTCCCTTGGCCCAAGTTATGTCGTGAGAAGGATTTCCTCCCCACTCGACCGATAAAAGTGTCGCGACGCGGTGGAATCAGGCGCTCGTCAATTTCTGGACGTGTGTTGGTGGTGGTAAAATTCCTTGTTATTCATATCGTTTATTTCATAGCTTGTTCACATCTTTAAGCAATTGTTTCAATGAAAAAATAAGAAAGGAAATAACCATCTGTTTTGAATAGAAGTCGAAATATTTGCGACTGAAAGAGGTGGGGTCGATGTTAAAATTAACGTGAAAATGGTCGCCAAATTTTTATGACTTCCAAAGCTGGAGAGCCCTTGAAAATTTGAACATTTGAACATTTGAACATTTGAAAATTTTCAATTTATGTCCCTCTAATCAATGTTTCTCAGTGAAATTCACACAGAAATGGGTTTTAAAATGTACATAAAAGGTATTCACCCCCCCCCCCCCAAAAAAAGATAAAAATTGACAAAGCAGCGGGAAATTGCCGAAGTCTTCGAGTTCATTATAAAGACAAGCGCCTGATTTCACGACGATGTTCTACAAAATGAACGACAGCCCTTGAGATACTCTACCCAAACTACCCATACACTATACACATTTTTGTAGAGTTAGTCGGACAACGGGAACCCCGTGAGTGAAGTGTATAACGTGTGGCCACAGAAGGTATGACGACACGATGGAAACAGGCGCTCGTTTTTAAATACATTTGGAGCGCATGGAGTTATCTATGTACTCTTAAGTCTTGGTTATTTGCCATGCTTTTGAATTTAAAGAAGAAAAAAAGAAGTAAAAAGATATTTGAAGGTGAGGTTGCCTGGTTTCAGGGGTGAAATTAGCGAGAAAGTTAAATAGCCGCCAAAGTTTGGTGACTTTCAAAGCTTGAGTGTCATTAGAAACTGCAAATTTAAATGTTTTGTGCTACTGATCAACGTTGTTCGGTACAATCCACAAATGGATGTGATTTTAAAAAGGTGTTGATTCGCTAAAACAAAGGCTCCATAAAATTCCTTCCGTCTACTGTTTGGAACCCGTTCATTTTGTTATAATAGGGGGGTTGGACTATACCATCTGTTGTACAATAAGGGGAGCCATACTAAGTGTTCCGTTCTTGTGCTCATGACTCAACTCACGACCCAGCAGTAGGTTACCAACAAGCCACAAGGTGGTAACAGCGACAGGGGAGTGAATCGAGAATCGGAAGGTGATACTGTTCCGCTGAAGTGAATCGCGGATCGCGTTCCGCAGGGAAGAGTGGCGATTCAATTCCGTTCTCACGCTCGTGACCCAGCTCTACATTACAGAAAACAGACCCAAATTTCGCACAGAAAGAGCTCACAGCACACCTCTGGTGTCTCATACTCCTGCTGGAGCTCATATAGTAACTGACCATTACTGATCAAGATCTTATCTCAGAGTGCAGCTGATTGTTACAAACATGGCCATTCTATTTATATGCAGCATAGAATCGTCCCTTGACCAACAGAAAGCTACATGTCACTTTCAAAGGTGCTCTTTAATATTTGTTTTTATACTAACTAAAGTGGCTTCATTTTGGTAGGAATGAACTTTTAATTTTACCCCCCCACTGAGGGATCTGTAACGTGTAGAAATTTCACCAAGGAAGACTAGGTGCTTGGTCATAACTCCCCTAGGGTCATGGGTTGAATATATGATTTTAAAAAGCTGAAGCAGGCATGCACCATGCATCACTCTAAATGTCCTGGTTGACAGGTGAAAACCATAGTCGTTCTGCAGTTAAGGTACTGAGTAGGGCTGGGATTTCAGGGGTAATATGATACCCGGTATTTCACTTATCTTGGGGGGGGGGGGACCCTTTTGGTTGTTTTTTTTTATATTTTATTTTTATTTTATTTTCAAAATCAACCCAAATTGGACCCACAAAGTAAGCGCACTTATATTGGGAATTCCAGACAATGAGTCTAACAGAACTCTCAATGAAGTCAACGACTTACAACAAAATCAAAAGCAAGGAAGACAGGCAAAACATATTACACGTGCTTGACTGGGAAAAGAGGGACAATCATTTCAAACTTTTGCTTAAAAACAAAAGTTTGTCCACAGCCGTTCTGGCGGCACAGATGTTGCAGGAAAACCTTAAAGCTTTTTGGCTTCCTGGCAGAGTTACGGAAAGGCTTTTTCATATTGACCTCACCAGGTCAGTGGAATCTCCTCTCCCTCTCTGATCAGCAGCATCTCAAAAGTACCAAATCAGTTGGACTGTGGCATTTGTTTGTGGCAGACGTTTGCCTATGATCCTCTGTTTGCACGTTGAAGGCTTGCCACAATGACTTTTTTGCCGGACGTTTCGGTTTCAGCAGCTGAAATCGAAGATGAGCTTGGTGTTTGATCGGATTTAACTCCTTATTTGCCTCTAATCACTGAAAGAAGGTGAGTTTCTATTTTTTACGTTGCGCCTTAATTATAAGGAAAACCGTTTGAAAAGGGTCGCGGATAGTTGATGCTGCCACAAAATTTGTGTCCTCAAGTTGTGTGAACTGCTTGTGAAGCTCACTCTGTAAAAGAACTGCCATTGGCCAATATCGATAGAGTACTGTATCTAGTAAGAGAGCTCAGATTCGATAAGTAACCTTATGAAGGTTCGAACGAACCGACGTCGAATTTTAAGTGCATTTGTGCAAGAATTAACGAAGTGGGGTAGAAAACCCGGGTACCCGACACCAATACCCAGGCATCCCGTTTTGAGCTCTTTACGCGGGTTGCCCAGCCCTAGTACTGAGCCTTTCTGGTGCTATTTTACTGTTTCCCCCTAGAGCACCCTAAACAAGAGCACACACACACGCTTGGTGGGGAAAGAAAAAGACAAACATGAGATATGACCACAGCTGCCAACTTCTCAAAACCCCTAAAAACCAAGACTATACCCATGCAGCAGGTCAAGATGGAGGGTATTAGCCAAGAAACCCCCTCTATACCCTTCACACACTTTTCTACATTCAAGAAATTCAAGTTTTTCCAAGCCATAGACTGACTATAAATCAATTTCAATAGCTCCTAACTGTTTTGAAAGCCAACTCCAATAGACATATATGGACTTTGTTCTCATTATCGGCAAATCCTGTCTTGAAAATTTTTTTAAATAGCATTGCAAGGCCATGAAGAGCAATACTAGAAAACCGAATACATATTTTCCGTCAAAATAAAAAGGTTGGCAGCTATGCAAGACCTTTACGGGAGGTATAAACACTATTTTTGAAATTTAAAGAAAACTAAAAAATTACCTACCATAATAAGCAATAGCATTGCTTTCAGTCAAAGTGAAGCCATCATTTCCCTCAAAAGCCGGCACCTGGATTGACAAGAAAGAGACAAGGGAAAAGAAACCAGATCAGTCTTTCACACCTGACTGCAAAATAGCATGTTTTAAAATTTCAAGTTCACACACTTCCCCATCCCTTGAAAGCAAAAAATCCTTTCTTCTTCTTCTGTCAAAAGGTATAGTCTAACTGTAGAACTCTAAATACTATACATTTCTTACAAAAATAAGAAATGTGATTCCATTTCCAATAAAATAACAGTAAAAAAAATCCATATGTTCACTCAGATAATGACTTACAAACACATGGTCAATGTAGACAGTCTGAAAGATCAATACGAATTCTCAGCTGCTACATGTTAAGTCCTCTCTCTCTCTCTCTCTCTCTCCACTGGAAGTGGCTATTCTCATCCGGGGTGAGAAAAGAAAAACGATCTACCTCTCACCCCGGGTGGGAATTGCCAGCGTAGGCTATTCTGTGCAGGCAGCAGGAAGAATCTCATTGTCACTGAAGTTAATCCATTGCTGGAC